CACGCCGCAATTACGAGCTGGCTCGATGAATTTCCCATGGAAGAACGCGACTTTTTGTCGCCGACCAACTTTTTCGAGCTCAAAACGTCGCAAGCGCGGCGGCTCACAGACGACTGGCCGACGCCCCAGCGCCTCCGCATCGCTGTCGCGTACACGGCGCTGACGTCGCTGGCCGCGCGCCACGCTTCGATTCCCCCACGCTTGCTCGCGCAGTGCCTCGAGTACGTCTTTGATGTGTCGACAAATTTGGATTTGGATGTGGGTGCTAGGGAGCTCGCGCCGGCCATTTATGCGAATGCCGCCGACTTTGACGACGCCCAAGATGCGATTGATGAGAATCCCTTTCTCTTCTACTACCAGCAAGCGACGCTGCAGCACGACGTACTGCTTGGACGATGGACAATATGTCTGATGGATTCTGGACGCATCAGGTCGTCCAAGCCAAGATACGCGAAGTCGAGAGGCTGCAAGAACGCATCGCCGAGCTCAGCGAGCAATTGGACGACTATCAATACAAGCAGAAACGCAGCATGTCCCACGCTGTCGTCGGCCGCTTCAAAACGAGCCTGAACATGTTCAAGGCCAACCACGTCGCGCCGCAAGCACCCACGTCCGCAGTGGTTGAGCACCACCCTGAAAACGTACAACTCTTCGCACCTTGGTTTTTCTATCGTTTTATATACTTTCCTTAGCGACTCCCGACCGAGACCGAGATCTGCGCCTACTGTAGTCTCATGTCCCCCGAAGCGCTTTCGTCCATGTTGCACCGACTGTTTAAAGACCCCAACATGCCGTCGCTGACGCAGACGCTGGCGCACCTTGTCGATGAGCTGGACCCTGGTGCGTCGACGACGACATGCAGAGACAGCGTGAATATGTGGCATGGTAGACCAGCGCCAATCGTTCTACCACGCGTACCAAAAGGGCATGTCGGCCGACGAGCTCTACAACTTTATCGTACGAGCTGTTGCACCGACGACGCCGCTGTATACACATGCAACGACTAGGCCAATGAGATCAACGAGCACAACCAGTACCTTCGCGACGCTACCGTGCGCTTGACCAAGAAGACGTCAACGGGGCTCTTGTCCGAGTTTGTCTTGGGCCTGCAAAAGCATCTGCTTCTCCAGGACAAGGCCGCGCCCCCGCTGGCCGAAACCAGCGACTCGGCGTAGACCTTACAGGCGGGCGTTTCACAAATCATGTGTTTTTCTAGACTGACGGCCGTCGAAGCGTTCATTCTCTTGCACGTCGAGTCGTTCATGGCCCGTCTCACGACGCTGCGCCAAGACGTCGGCGAGAGCTCGCTCGTGGAAATCATACCGCAGCATGTGCAGATTCGAAATGACGTGGCCAAGCTGCTGGAATTTCTCATCCTGCTCGAGGGCGGGGACCCGTCGTCGCTCCTCGAGGGCCTTGACGACGACACGTTTGACGACGGCAACAACGCTCCGGCCAGTGACAAGGACGAGGACGAAGACGACGACGAAGACGACGATGTGGACGAGCTCAAACCGGCCAAAAAAATTGCGTCGAAAAACCAAAAACGACGAAGCACGGTCAGCAGAGCCTCGTTCAGGTCGCGGACGATGCCCCTCTACGACGTGTGCACGACGATCTCGGCCTTGGTGTGCGAAAAGCTCATGCAAGACGCCAACGACAAGTCGCTGCAGCTGCAGCCGCTCAAGGTCTTTACGCGACAATACTTTATCCGCGTCTACGGCCTCAAGTCGCTCGCGCTCTCGCACATTGCTTCGTTTCGAACGGCGCTGCAAGTGCACTGCAAGGTACTCAAGCTAATTTCACGCCCCTTAAACCGACATTGGGAGTAGGAAAACCCACGCGTCGGTCTCTTTCACTGGTTTCTCGGCCTCGACGAAGCGCGCTCCATGAGCGCCGAGCTCGGATTTGCGTTTTTCAAGTCGCTCATCAAGCACGTCATCTACACCATGACCAAGGTCAAGAGTGCGAGCATGAACCAGGTCGAGTCGGCGCCCATCACGACGCTCGAGTCGCTCATGTACGCGTGGAACGACCTCATCGGCGACGGCTACTCGAGCAAAGATTCAACGGCAAAAGACGCGCCGACCGGGACGTTCCGGGACAAGAAGCGTCTGATTCCCGTGCCGAAGGCGCTCGAAGTGTGCAAAGTTGCGTTCAACGAGGTGCTTGAGAAGGACAGCTCGGTGCTCGCAGCGATCGACGACGTTCGGTGTGCGGGAACGCCGGCGTTGTTGATGGAAGACTTTCTGATGCAGCTCATGGACGCGTGGTCCGAGGCGCTCGAGCGGCTCGTCGTGGAGCTCCGGCTCAAGTTTAAAGATGCCGACAAGAACGGCGACGGAACCATGGACTTTGAAGAGTTTTTCGCCTTCCTCGTCACCGCCAAGATGCTCGACACGACCAAACTCGACGTGCCGACTCCTCGATTGATAGGTTGATAGATTGATTCTTTTCGATCGTAGGACGCACGCCGCGGAACGCAGCGCGACGGCGCATCGGCGACGGCATTGGCCGACATGCGCCACACCAACGCCGTTCGGCACAAGGCGATCGGGATCTACGACAGCCTCGCGAACGACCACAACATCATCGACGAGACCCATTTCGTGTCGTACATGCTCGGCCAGCTCCTCAAACCCACGCGCCGCAAGCCAGACGACGAGAAGCCCGAGACAGCACGCGATGAGCCCAGCCCATCGCGCCGCCAGGACGAGCGACGGGCATCTCGGGCGAGCGACGGAAAGGAGTCGCCGCCGCGCCGTTCGTCGCAGGCGCCAGTGAGCGAACAAGGCGACGACATGTGCGAAGACATGTGCGAAGACACGTAGTTGAGTTCAATATGTTTCAAGTCGATGTACATCGAGTTTCAATCCTGTACGTCGAATCCAAGTCGCGGTGGATGCCACCCCATGCTCGTTGCGAGACCACGCTAAGCACCGTCACTACGGCGGCGCTTGTGAGGTCGGGACGTACACGTTTGGTCCCCACGTTCCCTCGCCGTCAACGCTGCGAGCAGTGTGTCGAGCGTCGCAACGCACGTGATGTCGTGTGCTTGGTCGCCGTGCGCTCGAATGTACTGGATCCGCTCGGCTTCGGTCGCTTGGCCAGGAACTTTCCGGAGCTCGTACGCGTCCGACCAGTCGCTGCATTGGAGCGTGAGTCGATCCGCATGTGCGTTGGCCAGCGCTCGAATGTCGGCGCAGATCCGAGTGTTTCGTTGGAATTGAATCGCAACCCCATTTTTCAAGAAGATGGCAGCGTCCATGCACTGGCTGCAGTGCGTCGGGTCCAGAGGCACATCGCCCAAGACAAAGTCGGCGACGACAGTTGGGAGCAGCTCGGGGCGGATCCCGGAGGCAGTAAAGACCGTTCGACAGAGCGTCGCCAGGAGCACTGTCATCTTCGCATAGAGCGGTACTAGGGCGAACTTTTGCGCCAACGCCCGAACGATTGGGTAGAGTTTGCGCCGGTTGGCGTCCAGCGAGTTGACGGTGCACACCCAGTGCGTCATGAAATCCGGGACTTTCTCGGGGGCAAGCACGACGAGCGCGTCGATCGTGGCGATGACAAGTCGCACGATGACGTTGTTGTCGAGCGCTTCGTCGATGACGTTGGTCGCGTCATCGACGAGAAAGCTCGTTAGGATCTCGGCCGTCAATGGTGTCACCGGCTCCTGGGTGACGAGCTGCGAAATGGCCATGATGGTGCGGAACGAGCACAGAATCCGCATCTTGGCCAAGAAGGTCTCGTCGCAGCGGCCAAGGCGATTCATGCAGATGAGGAGACTGTAGCCGCCCGTCACACTCAGCGCATCGTCCCACTCAAAGAGGTCGTCCATGTCGTGTCGGTCGATGAGGTGCACGAGTGCATCCATGTACGGCCGTTGGGCTATCGCAGGCTGGACCTCGAGCGCTTGGAGCAAACAGAGCGGGACGTGCTCGAGCTGCCAGACGACATCGTCATTGCGCAAAGTGAGCAGCGTGTACGTGCCGCGGCAGCGGTGGTAAAGAAAACTGTCGACGACCGAGACGAGCGCCGGCGGCAGTCGGTGGCCGAGCCAGTGGTTCTCCGTGTCGAGGGACGCGACGTCGTCGAGGTACCACTCCATGATCAAAAGGTTCTCGTCGATCGAGTTCTTGGACCACTTGTCCTCATGGGCCAAGACCTCGTGCCAGCACAGCTTGAAGAACTCGCACGCAAACGGCTGCCGCAGCGGCGCGCACACGCCAGCGTCGACTGCCCCGCAACGGCTCACCAAGAGCGAGGCTGGTCTCGCGCATGCTTCGCTTGA